CTACTTTATCAACTCACGATGCCCGCACATCAACTAAAATGCGTTATTAGCCAACCAACACCCCAACATCCCCTCTTTGAATAGCAATGCAGAGAAGAAGTAGTGGAGGTAAATAAACAAAAAACCTAAGGATGACGGATTTCTGGTTTTAAAACTCAACCTTTCAAAAAAAATTACTCGTTTTCTCGAAACATTTCAACTAAAACATACGTAATTTTATTAAAATAAATCGCACTAACTTTAATGTGCAACACATCCTGGAAAAGAATTAGGTGTCCAACGAAGTATTATGCATCATCCATCATTCTTTCTATCATGAAAGAACTACTTAAGATAACGTCATGAAATAAAGAAGATTTTAAAGCAAATTTGATAAAGATTTAATGTACCATAAATAATTTCTTATTTTCTATAATCAACGGTGTTATGATTTTTAAAATCCAACTCTGTACGTTTGATTGTTATAGATATGAAACATAAAGTTTAAGAAATCGTATCTCAAAAACGAATGGAGATATCATCATGAAATAAAAAACATTTTAATGTAAATTTCATACAGATTTAATGCAACAAAAATAATTTTTTAATTTCCATAAACTTAATTGTTATGGTTTTTTAAATTCAGCTCTTCCCGCTTCATTTCAACAATCAATTTCTAATATCTCTATCTATATTCTTCTATATTAATAAATTGGGTTAAATTTTAAAATTATTACGATTTAATCCAATTTATCTTAGTAATAATACTACTACTAATAAAAAAAATTGTTACAGCAATGTTGTTACAGAAAATATTATCATTCATATTTTTTTGAGGTTTAAAACCAAAAAATGATTAAAACCCGTTTCGCTCTGGTATCCGTTTCTACTCTGCATTGCAATTTAAGGAGGGGATGCTGGGATGTTGGTTGGCTAATAACGCGTTTTAGTTGATATGCGGGTATTGTGGGGTGATAAAGTAGTTGCGAAAATTGAAACTTATTACGCGAATTAAGTGATAAATACATCTTATATTTGTGCTAAGTGTTGGGTGATGGTTGTGATGTTAGTGACATTAGTGACGTTGAGATCGTCGGATTGCTATTATGTGGATGTTAAATGGTATTGTATTAATTCATTTTTTGTCACAATGGATTAATTTATTTCTTCTTTTCAGCTGAGCTACAATGTGAGAACAAAGGAAAGCAACATCCACTCGGTGAGTCGTTTCCAAATTTTTTTATTTCTTATTTTTACCAAAACAAATCTTGGTAATTGGCGATTTGAGCGCTGGTGTAATATTTCCATATAAAAACCAATTCGAACCCTATTCATTGGATTTGTACTTGAAAAAAACGTTACGATTCAATACATTTTTACATTTTCTGCTTGAAAAATCATAACATCTGATTTTTTCAAATTTATATTTCATGATAGAAAGAATCGTTTGACACCTGATTCTTTTCCAGGATGTGTTGCACATTAAAATTAGTGCGATTTATTTTAATAAAATTACGTATGTTTTAGTTGAAATGTTTCGAGAAAACGAGTAATTTTTTTTTGAAAGGTTCAGTTTTAAAACCAGAAAATCCGTCATCCTTAGGCTTTTTGTTTATTCACCTCCACCACTTCTTCTCTGCATTGCTATTCAAAGAGGGGATGTTGGGGTGTTGGTTGGCTAATAACGCGTTTTAGTTGATATGCGGGCATTGTGGGGTGATAAAGTAGTTGCGAAAATTGGAACTTATTACGCGAATTAAGTGATAAATACATCTTATATTTGTGCTAAGTGTTGGGTGATGGTTGTGATGTTAGTGACATTAGTGACGTTGAGATCGTCGGATTGCTATTATGTGGATGTTAAATGGTATTGTATTAATTCATTTTTTGTCACAATGGATTAATTTATTTCTTCTTTTCAGCTGAGCTACAATGTGAGAACAAAGGAAAGCAACATCCACTCGGTGAGTCGTTTCCAAATTTTTTTATTTCTTATTTTTACCAAAACAAATCTTGGTAATTGGCGATTTGAGCGCTGGTGTAATATTTCCATATAAAAACCAATTCGAACCCTATTCATTGGATTTGTACTTGAAAAAAACGTTACGATTCAATACATTTTTACATTTTCTGCTTGAAAAATCATAACATCTGATTTTTTCAAATTTATATTTCATGATAGAAAGAATCGTTTGACACCTGATTCTTTTCCAGGATGTGTTGCACATTAAAATTAGTGCGATTTATTTTAATAAAATTACGTATGTTTTAGTTGAAATGTTTCGAGAAAACGAGTAATTTTTTTTTTAAAGATTGAGTTTTAAAACCAAAAAATGATTAAAACCCGTTTCGATCCGGCATTCTTAAGTTTTTTGTTTATTCACCTCCACTATTTCTACTCTGCATTGCAATTTAAGGAGGGGATGTTGGGATGTTGGTTGGCTAATAACGCGTTTTAGTAAAGTTAAAATAGTTGCGAAAATTGAAACTTATTACGCGAATTAAGTGCTAAATACATCTTATATTTGTGCTAAGTGTTTTGGTAGTGATGTTAGTGACATTAGTGACGTTGAGATCGCCGGATTACTATTTCGTGGATGTGAAAAGGTATCGTATTAATTCATTTTTTGTCACAATACATTAATTTATCTTTTATTTCCAGCTGAGCTACAATGTGAAAACCAAGGAAAGCAACATCCACTCGGTGAGTCGTTTCCAAATTTTTTTATTTCTTATTTTTACCAAAACAAATCTTGGTGATTCGCGGTTTAAGCGCCGGTGTAATAATTCCATATAAAAACCAATTCGAACCCTATTCATTGGATTTGTACTTGTACAAATGGAAGAACAGAAAATATGAATGATAATATTTTCTGTAACAACATTGCTGTAACAATTTTTTTTATTAGTAGTGGTATTATTACGAAGATAAATTAGATTAAATCGTAATAATTTTAAAATTTAACCCAATTTATCTTAGTCCAATTGTAAATAAAAACTTTTTCACCGCCATTAGTTGCAAAAGTGAAAAAAATTTACTAATTGTTGTAATTGTGCAACAGTGATTATCTTGGAAACGGAGAACTTTAAAGAAGATTGGTAGGTATACCAAATTTATGTAAAATAGTCTGAGAAACTGTTTCAAGTTGTGTGAGTTGGAAAAAATTTTGATCATCATTTTTAGAAAAATTTATTTACGTATAACTTTTTATTAAAACCCAACTTTTAGCGCCATCAATTTGCCCAACTTTTTAATCACGTAAATAACCCGGTCTTAAGAATCAAAGCCTTTCCGAGCCAAGATTTAAGTTTTAAGTCGAAATTACAAAGTTCTCTGGACGAATGGAAAATCGTCGAAGCGCGAAATTCTCGAATTGAATTGATCGTTCGACGGCTCTCTCTTAGTTTAATATGCGACTTCCTGACCATTATGGCAGTATTTTTCTCTGGTGACGAGGTATTTTCACGTGCGTCCAATTAAATTTCCCGTTCGAATCCGACAAAGGCGACACTAAACTGTCAGCGTCCTGGTAATTTTCCCGTTCATTGAATTTTCTTCAATGGTTTCATTTTTCTGGACTTTTCCGATGGACATCTCTTTTTCTTTCTAGTATTTTATGTGACTTGTTGTTCCACCTCGTTTCGATGTTTTCATTTTTTAGATAATTTCGATTTATAGCTAAAAATTAATTAGTATTCATAAGACAAGCATGCGTTCAAGTAAAAGCTCATTAATGTTTGGTAGTATAGGCTGTGAAAGAGGTCGATCGTTTCTGCTTTCGGACTTTAGGAAACTCTCATTTCTCACAGACGGCAGCTTTCCAATATTCGCGGGCCCCAAATTGATTAGCTTTCTCGACGGGGACGTGAAGTTGGGCGAACTTCTTGTGTTAGCTTCGGCTCCGCAGCACCACGAGAAAAACTAATTGATACGGACTTTTTAAATATTTCACCCTCGACTGGTTTGGGTCGCGGCTGCAACGTTCACTGTAACACTAGAATAATGATGCGTGCTGGCATAAACTTTTCGGGTTTCGTTGCTTCTCTTTGCCAAACCGAAAGTTACCCACCAAATGTCTCCAAGCGCTGTTTGAGTAATTTGAGTAATTAATTTCTCGAAAATTTGTCGTTAAAATTTAAATAATTTTGTTTTAATAAAATTTTTTTTAAATTACTTGTTATTTAAGTGGTTGAGTTTCATAAACTGGAGAGAAAGCAGTAACAACAGTAAAATTATTCTCGTCACATAAAAAACCTTTTGGGGGCCAGGGGCGCAATAAAGAGTAAAAAGTGAAGGTGCAGGGTAGCCGTATATCATCGGGTAAGGTTCTGGCACGAAGCGATCGTAAAAATATTTTTTACAGTCCACTAAAGACGATGTAAAAAGTCGACATAAAGCGCTATCTAGCCGCGGACATACGCGTCCTTGCCGCTGCTAAGCCATTAAACGCCATAGGTCCTTTACGACCTGTAGTATCAAAAGTGGTATTACTCCACACTTCCGGAAGAGACGGCACGAAAGAGAAAATTTAGGCCGGCATTTTTGACAGAACAAGCTTGTAATTTACGTTATCTAAACGAATTATCTGCTTCGAGGGTGGTTGTTTATTCAGGATGCCATAAAGCGACCTATTAGTCCGGATTTATGACCATTTTCGACAACTTCCCCCTTCGAAAACCGAATCAGGACCGAACTAATCTTTTACTTTATGTTATTTCTATGTTATATTAAATGTTTTTTTTTCTAGAATTGTTTGAGGGTATATTAATAGTATTAAATGGAGTGCATCGATATGAAACCACCTTCAAATTTGATTAACGTCAGTTGTGGGATGTTGGACACGACCAGAATCGGGCATTATCAAGACGGACTTTCGCCTCCGCATATTGATAGACCACCATCAAAGCGGATTACGATCAAACGACATTAGACCGTAGCGTAATTGAATAATAAATGCCTAGTTTCACGCGCCTATATTCAAATATAATGCACCTCAAACTGAATTATTTCGTAACAATATCTACGTCCATTGGAAGCATTTTTTAATTAATTTAATTTTTGTTGATTAAGTTTTTGGAATTGATTTTTGTTGGAATTATTGAAAATAATGATAAGGAAAGTTTATCCTGTTATCTCTAGTGGAAATCCTTACTTAATACCTTTGCTTAATACCAAAAAATAACATGCAGAGTTGATTCATTTTAACAAAAAAGTTTAGTGAGCGAATAATGTCGAAAAAATTGCGGATATGTTGTGGGATTTCCACAGCGTGTTTTTGTTGCAAGTTAGAAACTCTTGGTTGTGTTGTGGGATGTCTTGGCGCGGTAAATTTAATCAAAAAAAATGTATTATCAATTCAATGATTTTTTTTTATTTATTAGATTTATCGAATTATGCTGATCGTTACATTCAGCATTTTATTATCAATGTTAACAGATTACGACCCTAACCTTTACGAGTTAGTTTTTGGGATCATTTTAGCATATTCTGTAGTTTCTTTCATAACGAGCGGTATGTTGTTAATTGGAATATTTAAGGTAAGATTTTTATTTTTAGTACAAGTTAAAACAAACATAATTTTTTTTTGTAGAGAATACATCTTTTCTTTATTCCTTATTTATCTGTGGAATTATTAGAAATTTTATTTATCATTTTACTCAGTTTACTTCGAAGTTTTTTAATGTATTTTCTTGGAAATCAAAATGATTTATATTGGTTTATTCCATTAATGATTTTTACAGCATGTGAGTAGAATATATTTTTTTACACAAGCATACATTGATCTGCCTTGTTATGAGGTTCAAGGTGGATTTCGACTTGCTTATTTTATTCTATGGTCATTGTTAATTAATAGCTTGTAGTGTGTAAATAATATTAATTAAATTATTTTTATTTCAGGTTTCTTTACATACTCCTGGATAGTAATAATAAATTTATACATCGTTTATTCCTCACAAACTTATCACCTAGATGACATCAACTCCAACGCAAGAATAACATTCAATATCACAAATTAAAAAAGATTACGATACCCAATCTCTCTTATTATCGAAAAGATTTAAACATAATCGAATATAGCAGCTGTGCAATAACACTGATATATTAAATAAGTTTTCTGAAATAGCCGCGGCATACTTCGATCATTGCGCCGTACCGGAAGTTTCGGAACTAATCCAATTTAAACTTTTTTAAATTTACCCTCCTACATACACACGCGACCACACTCACACACACACACATAACTACTCAACGATCACAATTCAACAAAATAGTAGTAGAACAGCACAGTTTCGGAAGTCTGATGGTTGGCTATTTATTATACGTATCACGCGCTGAACGCGCAAAAAGCCGAATACGTTTTGCTTGGGAGCTACGAGGAAATGCTTTTGAGATCCTTTGGGAAAGCGGTGCGATGAAGGATGAGGAGAAACGCCAGCGACATTTCGGATGATGCAACCTACGTCAACGGAAACGGTTTTGTTTGTACGTTAAACGTCTTTGTTTTCGTGAAGAACAATTGTGTTGTGTTTGTAAAACATAAAATTCCAACTATTAAATTATAAAAGCATTTGTATCTCGATTTTCTTTTGTGCCATCGTAGTCAAAATTAATCAAAATCGACTTATATGCGCTTGAATTTTTTTGGCACCCCATCGCTATTAATTAAAGGGTGGATAATGCAAGTTTAATGAGTCTCATTACCCCGCGCATAATTAATCAACGTCTGCAAATGACGCGTCGTGATTTCGTTCGAGGGTTAACTGCGGAAGCGACGCTCAAACGAAGAATAACGTCAAAAGAGAACGTAGGGAAAATGAAGGGTGGAGAAACATTTTGATATTGATATTATGTCGACGATGCTGGGGGAAATTTAAATTTATTGAGGAGAATTGAATCTTCGCAATAAAACTTTGTTAATTATTGCGAGAGATATTTATTGGATATTAAAGATAACTTCCGGGTTATTCTTGGTAATATCGAATCGTAGGTGGTAAGCATAAGAAGCAAACAAGTTAACGAAACAAGTTGTGGAAATAAGTAAAGGAACGGAGGAGGACCGAAACCCCTTTTGTTTAACCAGGCGTGTTTATGTTGATGAATACCTTTGGGGCGGCAAAGTTCTCGGGATAAATGAAGCGGGTTGTAATCCCGGCTAACAAATAGCTACCACTTAATATAGTTACAGCCAGTAAAATATCTATAATCCTCGGGCATTATAAAGTCCAGCGGCTTAGTGCAGAGTTAAACTCAAACAAAACCGTTAATAACAATTTATCGACACCGCCGTTCCCTGTAATGACTTTTTAATTGGAAAACTTTATCTCGTCTCTGTTGTGCATATGCAAATCATACGATGTTTAGTACCTCATCCAACTGAAAGGTATGAAATTAAAACTATTTTCATATTATAAAATAGTTTGAAATTTTCCTAATAATAATTTAATTGGTAATTTTCTCATTTAAATTAACCGATACGTAAAGTAGCATCTTTTCGTCTATTCTATCCCGAAAACTATTCGTACTTGAACGCGGTCTGTGTTCAGATAAGTCCAATTTGAGTTGAGCCATCGTCTGGACGATTTTAATTCAGATCGCGACCTGCCAAGAACACGGACAAACACCGGAGAGAAAGACGGTTGCCGTCTTCCCGACGGGTTTGCAGATCTCCGACTCCCAGCCACAATGAATTTCCCGTATGTGATCTGAATCCGGGGGCACTGAAGGAACGCAAAACGTCTCAATCCGAGAGCGTCTACGGGGTAATGCTACATAAATCTGGAAAGCGGGCTGCGCGCATTTTCACGAGTCCAGCACGTACTTGTTCGCTTTTTTCCAACTTTTCGTCGTCGTTGTCGGTTCTGCTGCGGTATCGGTTTAGAGTTGAAATGCGCCCCTTGTTTATAAAGTTGGATTAGCTTATTTTTGCCCAACCGAGATACTGCGCTTTTCTTCAGATCGATCGAGATGTTATGTAAACGGAAACAAATTGTCGAAACAAGACATGAATTGTCTCGGGTATTTGTAAACATGATATCAAATGGTTTCGAATAACAATTTATTTTTAATTAAAACCAGATAATCATATATTGAGACATCGTCTCTATTCCCAGCATATAAATATAAAATAGAGGAATTGAAGATCGCCCTTATTCACAACAACTAATACCACCGCAATGCATTCGATGTACTTTTTCCCTTTGATGTTATACATTTTATTGGACGAATTCCCGTGTGTATTGCACAATCTCGTTTCATGTCAACAACGAACAAGACGATAGCACAATGTTCAAACCTTCAGTTCGTTCACCGTTTCAGTCAGAACGAAGTTGACGAACGCAACCGGAGGGTGGCCCCGCGGAGACTTAAGGCGCTTGTAAATCAGAAGTTGTTTTAACTACCGCAACAATAGCTTTCAGGTTTCGCCGCGGTACAGTTTGCTAACAAAGTTTCCCCCGGCGCTAAGTACTGCTTATTATACTCTATGGAAGGGAGTTATATAACATCGGAAAGAAGTGGCCGGGGTACTTATAAATCACAACGCCGACGGGAGAGACGTTTTAGGAAATAGCGGACTTTATAGAGAACTTCCTTTAACTTAATATACTCAAAATATATATTTTTTTTATAGTCATAAATACAACTGGGCAAATAATAACAAAAAATAAACAACATTGGAACTTGTAAATTGGAGGAAGTACGTAGCAAATATTTTGAAACGAACTACCATATTTCGATGCTCTAAAACGATTCCAAACAATTTCAAATTAATTCTACTGCGAAACTAGTTTGCATACATCCTAAAGCTTTCTGAACGAGCCTGAAAAACAGAATCGAACCGAAGTTATTGTTCTCTTTTATTTGTAAACTTGATATTTGCCAGTTTATTTCCATTCAATTTAATTCTGGATTTTTCAAAGCTAATAAAACGATGATTGCGATGAATAATGCCGGCAAGCGACTTCGGTGGTTTCATGGAATTAAACCTATACAGTAAATGTTTATTTTATAATCTCTGACCTTTCAAACTCTTAATTGAACCTCTTTGAAAATTCAGTAAAGTTGAATGACTTGGAGATGTTATGTGAAAGTTCCGAAAATCGAATCTTTAATGTTTTATACTTTAAAAGAGATTAATAAATAATAATTTTATTTTAGAATCTTCAGCTGGGTATTTAATGCACCTTTAGTTGATTAAAATCACAGTGAAGGTTTCTCTCGTCGATATTTTTTGAATCTATTAAGATTAATTTCAAGTACATGTGAATTTTTAATCGAATTTGTGCGATATTTAATATAATATCGCATTTTTTTGTTGTTTATTTTGATGATAACATAAACACAACAGATAATATATTAAACCCTTCAGACCTTTCGCGATCCGGTTTCCACCCTCCAAATAGATACCTTTTCTTATACCAGCTTTATCGAAGGGAGAAGCTAAGAAATATACATGTACGGACCTTTCTAAACCGTCCAAAGGCGGTGGTCCGTGGTATGGGGGTGAACGGCTTTGATGACGTCATTAGATTCGACCGTGGCGCCATCGAGGCGCCCACGCGGAAAGTTCGAATCTGGAACAACATGAGATGTGTACACAACAAATGGGGGTTATTTCGCAGCCGCCGGTATCTCCGGCCAGTATTTGTCCTCTTTTCGCGAACAGAGAAATGTATTTTTTTTATTCGTATAGTGGGGAGTATGCATAGCAGCTATGAGTAGTGTGTAACAAAAAACGCAAACAAACAGCAATAACGGGAGGATGATTCTTTTTGGTTTGCTCTCGAAATCGGTGCTAACTTCTCGGATATATTCTTGTTTGTTCCCTTATTGTGTATTTTCTAGTATTACTATTTGACAGTTTTTGTAAAATATTTTATGCTTCCTTTTTGTATTTACTTGTCATCTATGAAAATGCGGTGATTCAAACGTATATAATATTCCCATTTAGAATTACACCCATATTTTGTGTTTGTGTTATGCGTTTTAACTGTATTTGATCACGTTAAAAGCAAAACAAACAATTTGTTGTAGTAATAGATTATTCGGATGCTGGTTCACTTTGTAGGTTATCCAACTGGAACCTCGTACCTACACTGAACCAACTACCATTGTCGACTATGCCTAATTATCGCCAATTAATTCAACAAATATTAATTTGAAAAGATAAACACGCGCATATATACCACTTGGTCCAAATGGGTCCATTAATTTCAGTGGGATGCAAATATTATTGGTTTGAATGAGGAACGGTTCGAAAACGCGCCAGTTCGTAGACCAACACGGTATGACGACAGATGGGGATCGATTCGGGGACCTGGAGGACCCACTTCGGACCCAAACACATTACGGCAGTCCGATTCCTCTTCGCTGGTTTAATCAAAGGCCACGATGACTAAAGCCCAATTGTCTGAACCGGTCGTTCGAATTTATCGGAACCGACTTCCGCTTGCGCATACACGTAGGATGTTTGTTTTGGGCATTGTTCTCCAAACATTTCGATCCAGATGTAACTAAAGGCTTTCTACCCATATCATCAAACCTAAATCCATCAGAATAACTATAATTTTTTCCATATCGATTTTCATGGTGAATTAGAAATCATAAAGCTTTAAATTATTCTTATAAAACCTCTTGAAAGTTTAATACGTAAAGTTTTGAAACTACATCGATATGGTTGTTGGTATGGAAGCTCTGAATTTCGATAGTTTTGAAGTGCAATTAATAGTGAAGGAGGTGGGTGGGTCGATATTG